ATACCAAGTCAAGCTTATTGAAGATCAAGATCAAGCTTGGGTAATTTAGTTTAGGTGTTTATATTATGTGTGTTAAGTAATTTAAGCTCAATCATTTATACACATACATTTTATTGGTTTCTTTGTATATATATGTAGTTATATATATATACAACACAAGTTTTAGTTTTCATGTTTACAAATATAAAATTACATATTTCATATTGTGTTTTGGTTTAGCTACATAGATATGTTATATGTTTAGTTTATATTTTATGTTTTATTTTAATAAAGTTTTATATTATATGTGTCATTTTTATATGTTATGAATTTTAGTTATGTAATTTATATTGGAATTATGTATTAGGATTGCTCTTTATTGGGGTAAAAAAAGCCAAATTAAAAAAGAAAAATGATGATCATGAGTCAAGTATAGTGGACTCCATCGACACAAATAACAACTGACTTATAGACAGGTTAGACAAGACGAGCTTGAATAGGCAAGTAGCATTTGATATCGAACGAGAAAAGATAGAGATAAATGGAAAATTATAATGAAAGATTTAAATTCAATTGCTGATCCAACCGTACGTGAGTACGTTTGAGCTCAACAAAAAAAAATCAACAAGAACAAGGGTCTGCTTCTAATTTTGGTAATTATTTCAATGATATTGGACACTCTGGATCCGATCTACCATATTATTGAGAGTTGCTTGTCCATCTTATGTAATGTTATATGTTTAGTTTATATTTTTATGTTTTATTTTAATAAAGTTTTATATTATATGTGTCAGTTTTATATGTTATATATTTCAGTTATGTAATTTATATTGGAATTGTGTATTAGGATTGCTCTCTATATTTTTAATTTGTATTTTATGGGACTTTAATTATAAAGTCTAGATTTTAATATTATAATTAATAATAATATCTTTTAAATTTTAACATTATTTTTATTTTTAAAAAATAATTTATTTTGTCCAAATTATACAATTGGGGTAAAATTATAAAATTTAAATATTATTAGGGTTGTTTTATAAATTTAAAAAATAGTTAGGGTCAATTTATAAATACATAAAATTAAAAGGTAAAAATAAAAAATAAAAATAAAAAATAAAAAAAATAAAAAAACAGTAATTGAGTGAGAAACAGTGCGATAAATACCGTAGAGAATGACGCCGGATTAGAGAACCAACGCAGCGGCAAATGCATTGTTTGCGGTATTTTACCGTTGTGTTGGAGATATTATTAGGGTAAAATATTATAAAATAGTATAATAAAATATTATTTTATTAATTAAGATTATTGGGTAAATTATTATAAAATATTTTTTTATTGATATTACCAAAATATTAAATTTAAGAACACAACAGAAAAAATACGATAAAAATGGCGCGATGAACAGTTCGACGTCATATTTGGCGTCGGACTGTTCTTTTTCACTAAAATGGCACGGAAAATGGGGCATGGTTGGAGAAGGAATACTCCCGTTACACCAAAATGACGCGGGAAATTGGGCATGGTTGGAGATCCCCTAATAGACCAACATAATTCTTTTGGTATCTTTTAATGGACTAATTGTGAATACTCATCCTCTACTAAACGAACCACCTATTATTGAGATTACGTCTTTGATTCTTTGTATAACTTCATGAGAATTGGATAAATTAGAGATCTATCATGATTAGGAGATTGGATCTCATCATGATAGGAGTTTAAATCATATTCTACTTAGGAAGGTAGGCTAGAGGGCGTAGCTTGAATCAAAAATATTATGCGAGAGACGAGGGTTTCGTAGTCTTTGTCGGTGCAAAAGATTACATCATTGGGAGAGGATTTCGCAGTCTTTGTCCATTCAAAAGATTGTAAGGAGAGCGTTTCGGAGAGAATATGAGAGTTGATTATGTATGTGAGGTTGAGAGATTAAAAAACAAGAGTTGAATGGTTCCTCTTATATAGGGTTGAGCAATTGATCGGTCGATTCGGTTTTTGGGCAAATTTGGCCAAACCGAACCAAATTGGCTATCATTCAAAACCGAAGCAAGCCGATTCAAGTCGGTTCGGTTCGGGTCGGTTTGTTCGGTTTTCACTTAGGTACAAATGTTATTTCCAAATCTAACTTTACATCAATTTGTTGACGAAGAAATAAGTCTCTTACACTTCAAAGTATTGAAATTCATGAACTATTAAATGCTACTGAATATTAGACGTGGAAATCAAAATCTTATTCCTACCAAAGATTACATAATTTTTTTTGAAAAACTTACATAAAGAATTAAAGTGATCTCAATCTGATAGACAAATTAAATAAAAAAAATATGTAATAACTTGGATGTTGGTTATAGTTTCTATAAAATTATAAGTCTGATCCAAAGAGAAGTCTGATCCAAAAATGTATCAATCGAGGAGATAAATTAGAAAAATGTTAGAATTAACATTATGGTTTAAGTTCCTTACCTCCAAAGTGGATTGGTTCAAAGTAGAAGAAGCGAATATGTAATAGAGAGAGATAGAGAACTAGAGATAATGAAAAGCTCTAGAATTGGAGAGGACACTATTGTTTGGGTACTTTATCTCTATCAGGTCGCGTAAGAGAAAAACCCGAACCGAACTCTAATAAAATAGTAATTATAATGAGTAATATAATTCGGTCGGTTCGGTCAGTTTGGGTTTGGGTTGAAAACCCGAATCGAACTCTAATAAAAACCGAACAGAACTGTTAAATTTCGGCCGGTTCGGGTTTGAATCGAACTATGCTCATCCTTACTCTTGTAGTTCTCCCTGATACATAGTGGATTTCTCGTATTGTTGTCTGTGGACGTAAGTCGAAGTTGGTCGACCGAACCACGTAAATCTCGGTGTTCTTTCTTCTTGATTGTAGTTATTTTCTATCTTATTGATTGTGGGTTAGCTTCCGAGTTGAGGAGATCGTAGTACGTGGGGGACTAAAATTCCCCAACACCCATTTATTACTCTTTTAAATTTGTAGTTAGCACTTGGAATCTTGGAGTTCTAAATGGAGGTAGCTCTCTATTATTAGTACTCATCACTTAGCTGTCACTTATGTTGCAACGAGAGTATCCTTAATTTTTCAATATCTTGTAGCGAAGTCATTTATTTTTTTATAGGCGTTGAACATATGGCTATTCTCTATAGTGCACATGCAAGTCATCACACAGAATCGGAGATAATTTCCTTTATGAAAATATTTGTATGAAAAAGGTGTACGTATATGCAAATAATCCTATTTAATTTGATGTTATTTAAAATTTCACATACCGAGTCTCGTTCATAATCGTGTCAAATACAACATCTGCAAGTAGTCCTCCCTCTTAAACCACTTAAGTGAACGGTTGGTGCCTGCCCGCACTAAATTGTTATGTGCTCCACATGCCATCCAAGAATTGGATCTCACTCCTTGAGTGGATAGAGATCCGATGCCCATTAACAAATATCATATTTCTACTTCCACCAAAAAGAAGCTAAACATAATAATATGGGGGAAAGGAATTAGCTCGTCTCTCCACCATCTCAATTTGTTAACATACCACTAAACCTGCTTTCAACCCTCACCCACTTGTATTAACAAAATAGATCAGTACAAGGAAGAACAAAGCTCTCCCATTGGAATCCTTTATAAAAAGGGGAAGCATTTTCTTCATCAAATATTGCTCAATGAGTTGTCCAAGTTTTAAAGTCAATTTGTTCCCTTGATAATAAATTTAACTAGACCCACTTGGGTTTGTTTAGATTTGATTAGATTGCTTACGAAGGAAAACAAGCACCACTAACCATTGTAATAAATTAGTCTGAGTCACCTTCCAATTTTCTATATTAAATAGGTTTGAAGAAACAATTGTTCCATTTCTTAAAGGACTCTTTAAAGTCTAATTGAAGGAGGAGTGATATTTGTTCAATCTACATTCAAGTCTCCTTCTATCTTTCTAGAAATTCTCTCTCTTTTTTTAATTCCAAAGTCTGCTAGCTTGATTACAAATTTCTTCCACTTGTAGGTGCATCCATTTTCCAATTAGCTCACGGGATTTAGTCAAAACATGCCACTGTCGTATTTATGCAATAAATAAGCAAAGGATTGACATTTTCTTACTGAGACCAACTACAATCAAAATTCCATTAGACTTACATTTTTCCCATTTTAAATGCTCAATCCATTCGTCGAGCTAAACAAATATACTATAACCGAACACGTTTTCACGGAGAATTAGTCAGTCTACTCAAAAGTTTGGTTTGAATTTACACACAAGACTTTTTTTAACCACGCACTTGGTATATATATAATAAAAGTATAATTTGATCCATCAACGAGCCACGAAGTTACTATTTTTCTAGGCTCAAATTTGACAATTGGTACGTTTAATGCCTCGTCATCACCAATAATTCAAGTAAAAATAAGAATTAAGCATAGACTTAACGAAACTATATCAAATCAAATTGATAAAAAGAAAAGGACATGTAACCTTCTCTTCTTCTTCTTCTTCGTCTTCTCTTTTTTTTTTATATTTACAAATATAACCAAGTTTATCAAAAGCTTCATAAATAAATTAGGTTTTTTTAAAAAAAAACAAAGGTAGGCCATGCACATAACATTGCAATCTCTTATAGAGAAGTCCATAAAACTTCACTCTTTCAGTTGGATATTAGTTGACCTACCTCCATTAAAACCCTCAGCTCACACTTATGTCACTCTTTATCACCCCTACTTCTGTCAAACCTAACCCCCTAAGAAACAATGGCAACCCCGTAATTAATGACATTTGACTTTGCTCACAAGATAAGATAAGCCCAAATGCCCAATGGCATTCACGTAACAAATGACATCAAAGCATCATCGCCACGGCATCGCCCACTAAAGGCTGACATGATGAGTCAACGAAGACAAACAAAATAATGTGGGACCCGCCTCCCACTACCTCCACTAAAGAAAGCAGTTAACTTGGTCCCACCACTTTTGACCGCAGAAACAAAAGGACGGATCTCAACCCGCAATTAATTCCAGCTCATAAAAGACAAATCTCTTCCAGTCAAAATAGCTTAAAATTTTGGTTTTTACTTTTCGCTTCCCGCAATTTTTCCTTTTTACAAAGTCTAAACCTCTGCAGTCCGAACAGAGGGGGGAAAGCCAAAAAAAAAAGGGGAGAGAGAGAGAGAAAGAGAACAAAGATCGACGGCCTAGATCACTCTGATTGCTTTAAGATTAGTGCATCGGGGATCGGACTGTGAGTGTGGCGGTGCTCGCCTTCGTAGGTGACGATGAGCATTGAGGGATCATCGGGAGCTCTCTCCACGTGCTTTCGAGCCGGGCATCCCCTCATACTGCTGCACTTGTAATAACCCCTAAAAAAAGAAAAATAATTTGATAAAATTAGTCAAAAATATTTTAAGCCGTTGGATTTCGATCAGACCCTAGGAAATCAAGCGAAATATTCTCACCGAGGATAAGGGGATCCTTTGATCGGCTTCTGACCGTACTTCCTCCACGAGAACTCGTCGGAGGGAATATCAGCCACCTTAGAACTTTTCGCCGGTACTCGTATAGTTCTCTTCACACGAGATTTTCTGCGTATTTCAAAAAAGGAAAGCGTACATTAGCCATGAGCTCAAGGTTTTGCTGACTTGCGCAGCTGAAGGATTTCTTTTTTTTTTGATTCGTACCTTTTCTTCGAGCAGTGGCAGCGACCACCAGAGGCCGAGAAGCTCCCGGCCATCTCAGTGCCGTGGCTGTGAATGATGGTCCGACAGCGGCGGTTCCCGGCGGAGACGCGCTCGTTCGGCAGGAGGCAGAGGAGGGAGTAGCATCGACGACCCGTTCTTTTGCCAATTCGAAACGCTACCATCTCCGGTGGATCGACGACAAAAACGAGGGAGTTCGCGGACGGATGGCTGGAATTGGCTCGTATCCTTCGAGGTATTGGCTGTTCCATCGTCGCGATCTCGCCGCTGTCTTCGGCTTCGTGAAGCTCAAGAGTCAAGCATGAGGTGCCGGTGGCATTACAGCCTGATCGAGTCTGGCGGAATGAATGCCGGCGCGCGGTCTGAGGCTGATGAGTTGGCCCCCGCCTGAACCGGGCGTGGCCAGTTCGGTTCAAGATCGAGATCATCTTCTTGAACTTTGAAACGGTGTGGTCGGTGATCTCTCTGCAATCGAACTGAGATTTCTGCTGGCTTAGCTGGAAGATCAAATGCTCCATCCCTCGAATCCCCGCCGTCGCCGCCTCTTGGATCGCCATCTGATCGTCCATCTTCGCGTATCCCATCAAATCAACGGCCATCGTTGACGGAAAACAGGAATAGCTGGATTTATTTATTTGATTTTCGAATTTAGAAGAACATTTGAGAAGGGGAAGATTGAGAGATGGGAGGAAATGGGGAGGGTTTTATGGAGGGAGAGGTGACCGGGGGAACCGGGAATAGGCGGTTGAAAGGGGGAAATGGGATGAGATTCGAGTCAAAGGTTGGGCTCTTTAATCGAACGGGTTGTTTTGGGTTTGTACTTTTTAGCTTTGCTGTTGCTTTGGTTTTGCCTCGTGACGGGATTCCATAAATTGGACTCGATGTACCCCTGTTCTAGTAGGCGTAGATGGCGAGAAGCTTCACTCTTTAACTTGGACTTTGGGTACACCATTTTCTTTATGAATTTAGTTAGATTACGCTGCTTATTTTATTGTTTTCCGAGATTTTGTCCTTCGGGGATTCTTCACCGTAGTTAACTCTGAAAAAATATAATAATAATTTTACACAAGCGGGTTATCCTATTTTTATATTACTATACATAAAAATAGAATATTTTTAAGGAAAATCGTATCAATGATTCAAAACTAAAACATTCATGTACTACAGTCCTTTCACTTTTTTCTATGTGATTTAGCCCTAAAAAATTTCACATCATGTGCTACAGCCCTTTTTCATATAATTATCATGACAACTAAGCACAAAGAGAAAAAAAAACATAGAAGCTCAAAACACCTCACTTCCTCCCTCCTCTTCGTTCTCTCCAGATCTATCATGTTAGGTCCGGTTTGACTCAGGTTAAGTCTAATTTAATTTCTTTAAGTATAATTTAAATCATGTTAATTCTAATTTAATTTGTTTTAGGTCTAAAAATAAGTTGAATCATGAATCATGTTATGTCTAATTTAACATGTTTTAAGTTTAATTTTATGTTAAGTCCAATTTGATTCATGTTAAGTCTGATTCAATTTTTTTTAAATTTAATTTAAATCATGTTATTTCTAATTCAACTTATTTTAAATCTAAAAATAAGTTGAATTAGACTTAACATAAATCATGTAAGTCTATTTTAACTTATTTTAAGTTTAATTTCAAGTTTAGTCCAATTTTACTTCATGTTAAGACCAATTTGATTCATGTTAAATCTAATATAACTTCTTTTAAGTCTAATTTTAATCCAATTTAGTGTTAATTCTAGTTTAGTTAATCTTAAGTACAATTGGTTCGTGTTAAGTCCAGTTTGATTCATGTTAAATCCAGTTTGATTCGTGTTAAAGTACAGTTTAAATCATTTTAAGCCTAATTTAAATCGTTTTAAGTCTAATTTAAATCTTGCTTAGTCTCATTTAAATTGAACTTAACATGAAATTAGACTTAAAATAAAATAAAATAGACTTAACATGGATTATATGTTAAGTCCAATTTAAATCATGTTAAGTCCAATTCATTTCATGTTAAGTCCAATTTAAATCATGTTAAGTCCAATTCAGTTCATGTTAACTCCAATTTGGTTCATATTAAATCTAATTCAGTTTATATTAAGTCCAATTTAAATCATGTTAAGTCTAATTAAAGTTGTTTTAAGTCTAATTTTATGTTAAATCTGTTTTAGTACGTGTTAAGTCTAATTTAATTTCTTTTAAGTCTAATTTAAATAATATTATGTCACCTTCAACTTGTTTCAAGTCTAAAAACAAATTGAATTAGATTTAACATGAATCACGTAAAATCTAATTCAACTTATTTTAAGTCTAATTTCATATTAAGTCCATTTTGATTCGTGTTAAGTCTAATTTGGTTCATGTTAAGTCTAATTTGGTTCATGTTAAGTCTAATTTAATTCCTTTTAAGTCTAATTTATATCATGTTATATCTAATTCAACTTATTTAAAGTTAAAAAATAACTTGAATTAGACTTAACATGAATTATGTTAACTCTATTTTAACTTATTTTAAGTCTAATTTCAATCATATTAAATTTCTTTTAAGTCTAATTTAAATCATGTTAAGTTTAATTCAACTTTTTAAGTCTAATTTTATATTAAGTCCAATTAAATTAGACTTAAAACAAGTTGAATTAGATATAAATAATTTAAATTAGTCTTAAAAGGAATTAAATTAGACTTAACATGAATTAAATTATACTTAACATGAAATTAGACTTAAAACAAGTTGAATTAGACTTAACATGAATTAAATTAGACTTGAAACAAATTGAATTAGACATAACATGATTTAAATTGGACTTAAAAGAAATTAAATTAGACTTAACATGAATTAAATTGAATTTAATATGAAATTATACTTTCATGTTAAGTCTAATTCAACTTACTTTTAGACTTAACATGAAAGAATAGATGAGATAAGGGCATTTTGGGGTTTTATATTATTATTCTCTATCTATACTTAGTTGGCAGGTAATAATTACTAAAGAATGACCGCAAAACATAGATCTCCAATTTAAGGGCTAAAACACATGGGGAAAAGGCAAAGGGGCTGTGTTGATGCTATTGGAGTTCAAACAACCAAATAGCATCCACTGTGGGACGAGGAGATGATGATGATGGATGGGGGCCGTTTCCTTCCCCGAATGTCAGGTCAGAGGTTGGGGAGTTGTTCAACTTGCACAGGGAAAGACTCGTGAGAGGGCGGAGTTTGGATCCCTCGTGGTACCTCAAACGATCAAGTTAGATGATGAAGTTGAATGGGGTAAATTAATACGAAATAAGAGTTCTTGTGCATGTGATTGTTTAAGGATTAGATTTGGAAATCAAAATTCCAGCCCCTTGTAAGGTAGAATAGCACCTGTATTTATACCTATAGGGATAAGGAGTAGAACCGTCATTCTGGCTGAGCACAGGACGACGGTGAAGAAGTGTGTGTTGGCGGTTGCGTCGGCATTTACTTTACAGGTGTCAGCTGGTGACTAGCTGCGTGATCGACGCTAATATGATGTGATGTGTGGCGTGCGAAACACAACATGGCCCAATAAGTCATGAAGACTGTCGGAGGCAGAGGCATGATGATGCTTGACAAGCATTGATGCGATCTTGATACATTGTCAACGAGGATAAGCTTGAGGGTAAAGTAGTCCTTTAGCTTCGTCGAGAAGTAACGCCTTTCGAGTCGGGTGCGTAAGGTGTCTAAATGGTCGAGTGGACTCATGGCGAGTCGTCTTCGACAAAAAGGGGCTCGACAAGTTTCGCCTTTCGAGCCATCCTAAGGGGATGTCGACTCGGCTAAGCAACTGAGGGGAAATCCTTGCTGATCTTTGCCGCCAATCTGGTTGGGATGTTGCATGCAGAAGTATACTTGTACTATTACTGGTGAAGAGCTACACTTTGGTGATTGAGAACACCATAACAGGCTGCAGCACATGAAGTTTTGCTTTTGGAACCTTGACACAATTTTCCTATCTTTTTATATAAATTGCAATGAAAAATTATGAGTTTTTATAGACTCTATTTTTTATATAACTAGTGATAAGTAGTATAATATTTTATATAAATTTAGTATTTTCTAAAATATATATTTGTACTCCCTTCCACTTTCTTTATATTTCTAAATTATTTTATAGTCATCTATATATATTGCTTAAACTTCCGGATGTCATCACTAAATAAACACATGATATGAGAATAATATGGAAATAAATTAACTTTATTCTATTTTAACTAGTAGTAGATTGAATTGCCGTTTAAATTAAAGTTTTTATGTAAGTGACATTATCTGAGATCTTAAGAATGAAAGAGTTTACCGAGATTTGTAGGGGAACATGATTATTTTTTATTTTTATAAAAAAGAAATAAGTTAGAATAACTATAGCCTGATATTTATTTTATTAAAAGGGGTATTGTCATTCTATTTTTTTTTTTTACTAATTTGTGTAAATGAAGTCTGAAAATTAGATGTTTAAATGTAGAATTAGTGATGCACTCTCGAGTTTTTTTATCTGAGATAGATTTTTAATTTTTAATTTAGTTTTTATTTCCATTTTAAAGCACCTTGAAATTTTTGCTCAACTAATTTCTTAACGAAAACCATTCGGTGTGGATCACGTTGATGACCACACGATCAGCGCTCTCCTCTCGTGATAAGAACAACAAACTGCACCAGAGTCAACTTCTGGAAATCCATTAAAAATTTCAGCGTTTCTCTAAATCCTATGTAAGTTTCCCCAATCTCTCCAACCGTATATAGTCCTCTGTATTATTGATAAATAGACGGCTGAGATCCACTTAACAGTGACCATTGTCCTCACACTGGATTTCGTGTAGGAGACTCACACACAGCTGACCGATGAATCACGAGAAAAGCACTTAAGAGACCCAAACAAAAGAACAACATCAATATTTCGTAGACCTAATTGAAGCCCAAACTCCTAATTTTAGTGGGGCCTCGTGCTCTACAATAATTGGGTAAAGTTTTGGGTCTATCTTACCGGTGCTGGTTTTAAAAGGAAAAAGAAAAAGCCAATGCTGACTTTGGGCATGGGACCCAACGAACTTTGGCGTTTGCAACGGAGCTGTTGACCAAATGCATCCAGCCTAATCACCGGCAACAGCCGGTAAGGAATCCCAGCCGCCCGATTTTAGGCGCATTAATCAACGGCTGAAAGGAGAAGCATTAGTTGACTTGTGATATCAGAGTCATTAATTAATTAATTCAAAATAAAGACAAAGGAAAATATTTAGCAGAGTAGACTTTAATGCAAGCCGACGTGGCTTGAGGATACCCCCCGTTGTTAGTGCTAGTTGTCTCCAACTAATGACTAATCGCTCTCTAATCTAAAATCTAATTGAACAAATTTCTACTAATTGCGGGTGGGAAAAGTAATGAAGTCAACGACAGAATATATAATGTGTGGAAAACTAGTGGTTGACGTGACTTGAGGGATAGGAACAAGTCCCTTAACACGCAAGGAACGTTCAAGGCTCCAATCAACCGTTGATTTGTCGGCTTGTTCATCTAGACCGTTGGATTAAAAGGGTGGAGGGTGGGACTCGTTGGATGATGGTGCTGAAGCTTCAACGTTAGTTCA